TGTGTCCATCATTGATGTTAGTCTATGTGTGTATCCATCACTGATGTTAGTCTATGTGTGTCCATCATTGATGTTAGTCTATGTGTGTATCCATCACTGATGTTAGTCTATGTGTGTCCATCATTGATGTTAGTCTATGTGTGTATCCATCACTGATGTTAGTCTATGTGTGTCCATCATTGATGTTAGTCTATGTGTGTGTGTCTATCACTGATGTTAGTCTATTTGTGTGTTCATCACTGATGTTAGTCTATGTGTGTGCCCATTATTTATGTTTGTTTTTGTGTGTGTATCCATCATTGATGTGAGTTTGTGTGTGTGTCCATTATTGATGTTAGTCTATGTGTGTGTGTCTATCACTGAAGTTAGTCTATGTGTGTGTGTCCATCATTGATGTTAGTCTATGTGTGTGTCCATCACTGATGTTAGTCTATGTGTGAGTCCATCACTGATGTTAGTCTATGTGTGTGTGTGTGTGTCCATCATTGATGTTAGTCTATGTGTGTGCAGTGATCTTCTTTGTTATTAATTGCTGGCTCGAATGAGTCACCGCATTTTTTCATCCACCAACTGCCAACTGACGAGAACGAGAAAACATGGACGCTGGGAGACGTTCAGTAGTTACACGTACTGTTTATTTTCACTCGCTGTTGTTGCAGTAAGTAAATGTTCATGTACAACCGTAGCACTCTTAATCAATGATCTAAAACAGTCAATCATACCTTTGTAACATCGTAGAATAGNACAAAAAACTTCCAATTCTTTGATAAAATGCCCCTTTTGCCACTCCAACGAGTTCACAAATTCCTAAGATCTGAATATTTAATCTTTCAATCCTCATCACATACTACTTTAAGCTTTCTTCATACAGGGACTTCTCACATTCCACGTTAGTTCCTATTCGCATTCTGTTTCTTAGTCTGACACAGTGGATTTCCTTGGTAACCACAGTCAGCGATTAACTCCGTCATCACGATTACTAGTACTGACCCCTATATCACACTACTTCCCCAGTGTTATCTGATCTGCCTCGGCCTGGGGGTCTCGCCACCAGATCTCTTCTGTGTTATGTTTTTCTTTCATGATTGTTATGGGTTCTTGGCAAAATTTGCAGAATGGTAGTTTGCCGTTGCTTTCCTCCTGAGGCAGTGATATATACTAGTCGGTGGCCATAGCCATTGTCTCTACTGATGAGATCATCTGCCTATCGCCGCAGGAGTGCAGGCAGACCATAACACAATACCTGTCGGCTGCTCTTACATTCCATCCACCCCACCGGCTTCCATGGCTTCACGTAACCCTGATTTGGGGGGGCTAAACGGGTACTCCACCTTGCCCAAGGGTGTCCCGTAGACTAGCGGAGGAAAGGAGGCGTCTTAACTTCTCCTTGATATGGGGATACCCCTACCCCGCTTAACCGCCAGAAATAGCAGACTTGGGAATTCCCAGATCGGCCACAGCAAAAAAACGAGACGCACACCAGACACGCCAGAGGACTTGTTAATCAACATAGAACTGATACTATTAGCCATCGGACGTTGGGGTTCATAACTGAGGGGAGGATCTGAGCACCTATGGACATGTCTTTATTTTTTTTTTTTTTTTTTTTGGGGGACGGATGCAATGAGGATAACCCAACTCACTAACTAACTAAGTGGCTTTTTGACGGAGTTTTCATTCTGTGTTATTCGGATTTTTCATGATTTGATATGCTACTTATTCTTGGTACAACAGTGTAATGACACAGTTTGCAATATCTTGCCTCTGATCCGTCTGAAGATCTTTTGAGCCGTGCGTATGTTTTCTTCCAGTTACTATTATACTTGCGATGTCATAAGATGCTTTCCATTTTTTAGATGACGTGGCCATTGGTAAAAGTAATAAAATCTATCAGATAGAACTAGATCTATTTGCTCTCTATTTTCTGTCCTCATGTAGTTTCTGAACACTTATGGCTCGAATCTCCGTTACTCCGTACCAGGACATCACAACAAAGTCAAACTGAAAAGAAAAAAAAAAGATGTTAACTGTAGGTCTACATTGCTTTTAGTAAATCTGCGTGTTTCTAACGGAGGAACAATGAAGAACATTTGAGGATATTTTTAAAAGAAAAGCCAGGAAAACCCAAATATGCCCAAATATGCCAGTTCATTAGCTTATGTCAGTTCAGTTTCAAATATGCCAAATATGTGGAATTGTCGTATGGCAGTTTCGTCACGCACCTTTACTTCACGATTACTTTCCCAAAAATCCGCAGGTGCTCTGAGATAGGAGTGTTCTGAATGGTGGCTCTCGTTTGTCTAGAGGCCTAGTCCTCGGTTCAAACTTCCATTCAGCCTATCTCGGGAATAAGGTGACTCGAGCTCTGACTCCACAGAGTTAGAACAAACTCTTGGGTACCACTCGGCCAGACATCCTCATTACTAATTTGGCCCCCAGACTGGAAAACGAAGTTAACACAGTCGAATATTTAAACAACATTCGATTAGACAGGACATTATTATAATCTCAACGACCGCGAGTAACTAAATCAACTTAAATTCGTTCAAGAACAAGAAGACTTCCGAACTAAGATCATTGTGTAATAGAATGTTAAAAGCATTAGGAGCAGGTCTCCATTAGGTGCCACCAACAGATCCAATATCATCTCTGCACTGAGAGAGAAGCAAGATAGTTCGAGGTTTGAGAGCAGAGGTCGTCACTGTTCCTTGCAAATAACTGGACTTTGCTTATGGGAGTCCTCAAGCGTCTCAGCAACACAGGACTGTAGACCTCTAGGTTTTCTTGACTCTGCATGCACTGCGTGAAGTGATAATTCTAGTCGCTCGTAACAAATGGAAGGATCGATTCGTCTCTCAATGACGTTCGCTGGTGTCGACCTCAACGTGCAGACCACATAGTAGTTGATAATCACTGCGCTACATCTTCTGCGAATTAACTCGGACGGTTTAAACAATAGGATAGAATTTTACCTGATGCTCAGGCACTCTAATATTATACGGGCGACATAACGATGTTGTTCGAATAGACAGGATGGCAGTCGAAAGGACAGTCCGACTATAGCTTTGACACTTGTTAGATTCTCCGGCATCCCATACAAACGAATGTTTTCAAAGAAAACGATTAACGATCAAGTGGCCGCAGTGCCAAGACACAACTGTTTACTCGAATGGACTAAGTAGAAGTGACGTACAGAATTCTAGTCCCTAACTACGACAGTTGGGGCGAGGATACGGCTCAAGCACTCAGTGAAGCGGTCAAACTGTTAAGCTGAGAACAGGCGCAGAAAACGTGTCGTATCATACACATTGACACTATACGCCAAGAAGGATCAATTTCGGAGTGATTTATCTATGTTTTTCACAGCTGGACTCCCTCGTGCTTGATTAGCAGGTTTCTTCAGTACCCAAAGTCGACGACAACCCAGTAAAGGGATTTTGTGTATTCGTTTGTGGTTTTGTTTTATCGTTTATGTGCTGGTGAAAGTCTACAGCCGCTGCGATGATGTTTTTTTTAAAATGTTTGTTATATTGTGAAGCTCATTGATCTCATTTTCTTCGGTTGCATATCTTGTCATTCACTTTGCTTATAGATTCATTCGTCTTTCACTCGTCCAATGTTTCCAAACCAACACTGTCCCAGGATTCGAAACAAGACTGAAACTTCTTATCATTCCAAGTTTAAATAATCTGCCTCTCTTTCTAGCTCTCGAACATTCTACACGTGATTCCTGCTCTCTCTCTCTCTCTCTCTCTCTCTCTCTCTCTCTCTCTCTCTCTCTCTCTCTCTCTCTCTCTCTCTCTCTCAACTGTCACACTTTCAGCCAGCCCGCTAGCTTGTCTTGAGTTATTCAAACATTGTACTTCGTACTCGACCCTATTGAACCATTTAGTATTTAAACTCATTTTCAAATACGAATATTAATTAAGTAAAAAGTAAAAATCCCCTTTCACGACTTAGGCACATCAGGCATATGGGAAGAGCGTCCCATATTTTTACAGACCAATCAGCACTGGGTGGGTAATGAGGTCAGCATTATGCCCGTCGGAAACATTAATTACAAGAGAAAATGGCTCATTACACGATGTATGCAGCGTGTCCTTATATTTATGTTTGATCCTATGTGCGTGCTGTATCCCCATGTCTATGACATTTTCCTATGTATGTGTTACATCAATATGTATATACGATATCCCCATGTCTGTGTTATATCCATATGTAAAGGCATATGCTATATCCCAATGTCTGTGTTTTATTTCCATGCCTGTGCTATATCCGCTTGTCTGTGATATATACCTATGTCTACCATGTACCCTCATGCCTGTGCTACATAACACAATCTGTGCTATATCCTCATGTCTGTATTACATCACACAGTATGTGCTATATCCTCATGTATGTATTACATCACACAGTATGTGCTATATCCTCATACCTGTGCTACGTCACAATATCTGTGCTAAAATCTTCATGTCTGTGTTGTATCCCTGTGTATGTGCTATATCCCAAAAGTGTATGTTAGATCTCTATGTTTAGTTCAGATCCCAGTGTTCGCGCTGAATCCATGTAACTGTGTTATATCTATATGCCAGTGCTAGGTCCCTGTGTCTGAACTTTCCATGTCTGTGTTATAACATCAGTTTGTGCTATATCCCTATACTGTGCTACATGCCTATCCCTTTAGAATATATCATTTTGTCTGTGATATATTCCCCTGTCCTTGATATGTTCCCATGTCATTGATATGTTCCCCTGTCCTTGATATGTTCCCCTGTCCTTGATATGTTCCCCTGTCCTTGATATGTTCCCCTGTCCTTGATATTTTCCCCTGTCCTTGATATGTTCCCCTGTCCTTGATATGTTCCCCTGTCCTTGATATGTTCCCATGTCTATGTGACAAACCTCCTCCCCTCCACCATTTACACGTCTATATCATATCCAGTGTTCTATATCCAATTGTGTGTGCTATATATCACCCAGTCCTTGACCCATGGACACAGATATATTTTGTCTACTTTGATGCCACGGACTGTGTGGTAAGTGGCTGAAGTCTATGTGTGTGTGTGTGTCCATCACTAATGTAAGTCTATGTGTGTGTCCATCATTGATGTTAGTCTACGTGTATGTCCATCATTAATGTTAGTCTATGTGTAAGTGTGTGTCCATCACTGATGTTAGTCTATGTCTATGTGTGTGTCCATCACTGATGTTAGTCTATGTGTGTCCATCACTGATGTTAGTCTATGTGTGTGTCCATCACTGATGTTAGTCTATGTGTGTGTCCATCACTGATGTTAGTCTATGTGTGTGTGTCCATCACTGATGTTATGTTGTGTCCATCACTGATGTTATGTATGTGTGTGTCCATCACTGATGTTAGTCTATGTGTGTGTCCATCACTGATGTTAGTCTATGTGTGTGTCCATCACTGATGTTAGTCTATGTGTGTATGTCCATCACTGATGTTAGTCTATGTGTGTGTGTCCATCACTGATGTTAGTCTATGTGTGTGTGTCCATCACTGATGTTAGTTTATGTGTGTGTCCATCACTGATGTTAGTCTATGTGTGTGTCCATCACTGATGTTAGTCTATGTGTGTATGTCCATCACTGCTGATGTTAGTCTATGTGTGTGTGTCCCTCATTGATGTTAGTCTATATGTGTGTCCATTATTGATGTTAGTCTATGTGTGTGTGTCTGCCCATCACTGATGTTAGTCTATGTGTATGTCCATCACTGATGCTAGTCTACGTGTGTGTGTGTATGTCCATCACTGATGTTAGTCTATGTGTGTGTGTGTGCCCATCACTGATGTTAGTCTATGTGTGTGTGTGCCCATTACTGATGTTAGTCTATGTGTGTAAATCACTGATGTTAGTCTATGTGTGTCCATCACTGATGTTAGTCTATGTGTGTGTGTCCACTCATGTTAGTCTATGTGTGTCTATGATGTTAGTCTATGTGGGTGTGTCCATCACTGATGTTAGTCTATGTGTGTGTGTCCATCATGTGATGATGTAGTCTGTATGTGTGTCCATCACTGAATGTTAGTCTATGTGTGTGTTGTTGTGTGTCTGATGTCTATGTGTGTCCATCACTGATGTTAGTCTATGTGTGTCCATCACTGATGTTAGTCTATGTGTGTGTGTCCATCACTGATGTTAGTCTATGTGTGTCCATCACTGATGTGTCTATGTGTGTGTCCATCACTGATGTTAGTCTATGTTGTGTGTTCCATCACTGATGTTAGTCTATGTGTGTGTCCATCACTGTTAGTCTATGTTAGTCTATGTGTGTGTGTGTGTCATCACTGATGTTAGTCTATGTGTGTTGTCCATCACTGATGTTAGTCTATGTGTGTGTGTCCCATCACTGATGTTAGTCTATGTGTGTGTGCCATCACTGATGTTAGTCTACTGATGTTACTGTGTTAGTTGTGTGTGTCCATCACTGATGTTAGTCTATGTGTGTCCATCACTGATGTTAGTCTATGTGTGTCTATCACTGATGTTAGTCTATGTGTGTGTCAATCACTGATGTTAGTCTATGTGTGTCCATCACTGATGTTAGTCTATGTGTGTCCATGATGTTCATGATGTTGTCCATCTATGTGTGTGTGTGTCCATCACTGATGTTAGTCTATGTGTGTGTTCATCATTGATGTTAGTCTATGTGTGTGTTCATCACTGATGTTAGTCTATGTGTGTCAATCACTGATGTTAGTCTATGTGTGCCCATCACTGATGTTAGTCTATGTGTGTGTGTCCATCACTGATGTTAGTCTATGTGTGTCCATCACTGATGTTAGTCTATGTGTGTCCATCACTGATGTTAGTCTATGTGTGTCAATCACTGATGTTAGTCTATGTGTGTCAATCACTGATGTTAGTCTATGTGTGTGTGTGTATGTCCATCACTGATGTTAGTCTATGTGTGTGTGTCCATCACTGTGTCTCCATCACTGATGTTAGTATGTATGTGTGTCCATCACTGATGTTAGTCTATGTGTGTGTCCATGATGTTACTGATGTTAGTCTATGTATGTGTGTCCATCACTGATGTTAGTCTATGTGTGTGTGTCCATCACTGATGTTAGTCTATGTGTGTGTGTCCATCACTGACTGATGTTAGTCTATGTTGTGTGTGTGTCCATCACTGATGTTAGTCTATGTGTGTCCATGTGTCTATGTGTGTCAATCACTGATGTTAGTCTATGTGTGTGTGTGTATGTCCATCACTGATGTTAGTCTATGTGTGTGTGTCCATCACTGATGTTAGTCTATGTGTGTCTATCACTGATGTTAGTCTATGTGTGTCAATCACTGATGTTAGTCTATGTGTGTCAATCACTGATGTTAGTCTATGTGTGTGTGTGTGTATGTCCATCACTGATGTTAGTCTATGTGTGTGTGTGTGCCCATCACTGATGTTAGTCTATGTGTGTGCGTGCCCATCACTGATGTTAGTCTATGTGTATTCATTATTGATGTTAGTCTATGTGTGTCCATCACTGATATTAGTCTATGTGTGTCTATCACTGATGTTAGTCTATGTGTGTCTATCACTGATGTTAGTCTATGTGTGTGGTCCATCACTGATGTTTAGTCTATGTGTGTGTCATCACTGATGTTAGTCTATGTGTGTCCATCACTGATGTTAGTCTATGTGTGTGTGTCCATCACTGATGTTAGTCTATGTGTGTCCATCACTGATGTTAGTCTATGTGTGTCCATCACTGATGTTAGTCTATGTGTGTGTCCATCACTGATGTTAGTCTATGTGTGTGTCCATCACTGATGTTAGTCTATGTGTGTGTCCATCACTGATGTTAGTCTATGTGTGTGTCCATCACTGATGTTAGTCTATGTGTGTGTCCATCACTGATGTTAGTCTATGTGTGTGTCCATCACTGATGTTAGTCTATGTGTGTGTCCATCACTGATGTTAGTCTATGTGTGTCCATCATTGATGTTAGTCTATGTGTGTCCATCACTGATGTTAGTCTATGTGTGTCCATCACTGATGTTAGTCTATGTGTGTCCATCACTGATGTTAGTCTATGTGTGTGTCCATCACTGATGTTAGTCTATGTGTGTGTGTCCATCACTGATGTTAGTCTATGTGTGTGTCCATCACTGATGTTAGTCTATGTGTGTGTCCATCACTGATGTTAGTCTATGTGTGTGTCCATCACTGATGTTAGTCTATGTGTGTGTGTCCATCACTGATGTTAGTCTATGTGTGTGTGTCCATCACTGATGTTAGTCTATGTGTGTCCATCACTGATGTTAGTCTATGTGTGTCCATCACTGATGTTAGTCTATGTGTGTGTCCATCATTGATGTTAGTCTATGTGTGTGTGTCCATCACTGATGTTAGTCTATGTGTGTGTCCATCACTGATGTTAGTCTATGTGTGTATCCATCACTGATGTTAGTCTATGTGTGTCCATTATTGATGTTAGTCTATGTGTGTGTCCATCATTGATGTTAGTCTATGTGTGTATCCATCACTGATGTTAGTCTATGTGTGTCCATTATTGATGTTAGTCTATGTGTGTCCATCACTGATGTTAGTCTATGTGTGTATCCATCACTGATGTTAGTCTATTTGTGTGTTCATCACTGATGTTAGTCTATGTGTGTGTGTCCATTATTTATGTTTGTTTGTGTGTGTGTATCCATCATTGATGTTAGTCTATGTGTGTGTCCATCACTGATTTTCGTCTATGTGTGTGTTCATCACTGGTTTTAGTCTATGTGTGTGTCTACCACTGAGTCTGTGACCATCATTGATGTTAGTCTGCATGTGTGTCCATCACTGATGTCAGTCTATGTGTGTGTGTGTAGCTACTCACCATGAAGGACTATTAGATGTAGAAACACACTAAGACAGACTGTTAGATGTAGATAACCACTAAGAGAGACTGTTGGATGTTGATATCCTCTATGAGAGACTGTTAGATGTAGATAACCACTATGAGAGACTGTTGGATGTTGATATCCTCTATGAGAGACTGTTAGGTGTAGATAACCACTATGACAGACTGTTAGATGTAGATAACCACTATGACAGACTGTTAAATGTAGATACACACTATGACAGACTGTTAGATGTAGATACACACTATGACAGACTGTTAGATGTAGATACACACTATGAGAGACTATTAGATGTAGATACACACTATGAGAGACTGTTAGATGTAGATAACCACTATGACAGACTGTTAAATGTAGAAAACCACTATGACAGACTGTTAGATGTAGATAACCACTTTGACAGACTGTTAGATGTAGATACACACTATGCCAGACTGTTAGATGTAGATACACACTATGACAGACTGTTAGATGTAGATACACACTATGACAGACTGTTAGATGTAGATACACACTATGAGAGACTGTTAGATGTAGATAACCACTATGACAGACTGTCAGATATAGATACACACTATGAGAGACTGTTAGATGTAGATACACACTATGACAGACTGTTAGATGTAGATACACACTATGACAGACTGTTAGATGTAGATACACACTATGAGAGACTGTTAGATGTAGATACACACTATGAGAGACTGTTAGATGTAGATACACACTATGACAGACTGTTAGATGTAGATACACACTATGACAGACTGTTAGATGTAGATACAAACTATGACAGACTGTTAGATATAGATACACACTATGAGAGACTGTTAGATGTAGATACACACTATGACAGACTGTTAGATGTAGATACACACTATGACAGACTGTTATATATAGATACATACTATGATAGACTGTTAGATGTAGATACACACTATGACAGACTGTTAGATGTTGATGCACACTATGACAGACTGTTAGATGTAGATACACACTATGAGAGACTGTTAGATGTAGATACACACTATGACAGACTGTTAGATGTAGATACACACTATGACAGACTGTTAGATGTAGATGCACACTATGACAGACTGTTAGATGTAGATAGACACTATGACAGACTGTTAGATGTAGATAACCACTATGAGAG